AAAACTAGACAGAAGGCAAAAGTCTAGATTGTATGAAACAATGATTATATTAAACACTAGCAAGTCCAGATTGTATGAAACAATGATTATATTAAACACTAGTAAGTCCAGGTTGTGTGAAAGAAAATGGTTTCTGAAAAACTTGGTTTTTCCCTAGACTGTTTTATAAACTATTAGCTTCAAGATCACCCCCCCCCCAAATAAAATAAAATAAAATAAAGGATTCTTTAGTCTTCAACGTATTAGTGCCTAAGATTTACTTCTTTCAAAGTTTTAGGCAGTTTGACACATTGAATAGTTTTGGAGAGGACGTTTCGGGCGTCGAAGAGCTAAATGTGTACTGTTCGCTAGTGTTTAATAAGTTCAGATTGTATGAAACAATGATTATATTAAACACTAGCAAGTCCAGGTTGCATGAAACAATGATTATTTGACGTGTACCAGTCAATCTGTGTACATACAGTGACGTATATCAGTCAATCTGTGTACATACAGTGACGTATATCAGTCAATCTGTGTACATACAGTGACGTATATCAGTCAATCTGTGTACATACATTGACGTGTCGCTTTATCCAAACACATCAGTTGTACTATATTTTGATGTCACTTCACTCAAACACATCAGTTGTACTGGATTTACGATGTCGCTTCATCCAAGTGCAGCGGGTCATTTTTAATGCAACTTCACTGACCTCTTTTTTTTTTTATGTTGTCGACGTCACTTAGTCCTCGCGCAACAGTTCTTCTATGTAGCTTCGTCCGAGTGTAGCAATTAATTCATTTTCAGTATCTGAAACAGTCATAAATTTTAAGAAAATATCATTACATTTTTTTTTTATTTTGAGCGATTTCCAAGTACTGTTTAAATACACCAGTGGATCTGTGTACTAGAATGTTCGTGAGTACAGATTGAGAGAAAGAGTAAGTCTGTTAGAACTCATGTTTTGGTTGCGATCACATTCTGACATGAAATACTAATCTTCTGGTTAGTGTAAAGACTTTGTGGGGGACGACTGTGTTAAGAAGTAGCCCTCAGCGACTCGCAAGTATCGTTTTTCATACGTTTCGCATCGTTCACTACTTTTCTACGAAATCACAGACTTGAGGGATTAACAACAAACATTTTTGTTATTACTTTGGTAAACTGAAACATTTCAATATTATTTACTTTGAACACGTTGTATAGATGTAGCCGTGGGTACAGTGTAGAATATGCATATATAGCCATGTTGGCTTTATTTCCGAATGTATTGAGGCTTATTTCCCTTAAATTGTGGAAGTATTTTCATTCAAACTTTCAACATACAGGATATGCATATATATAGCCATGTTGGCTTTATTTCCGAATGTATTGAGGTTTATTTCCCTTAAATTGTGGAAGTATTTTCATTCAAACTTTCAACATACAGGATATGCATATATAGCCATGTTGGCTTTATTTCCGAATGTATTGAGGTTTATTTCCCTTAAATTGTGGAAGTATTTTCATTCAAATTTTCAACTGTATGTTGCTTGAGAACATCCATAATTAGGTTTGCACGGTGCATATAAACGTTAATTTCCCACAATTGACGTTTTTATCCATTAATCTATCTTCTGCTTTGATTTTAGATCTAATTGTCTTCTGATTAGAGCTAAAACTTAATTCAGTAAATAATGCAATTAATTTAATATAACGCTCTAACTAGAAAAATGCAAGATCATAAAACAAAGACTTAAAATGATTAGAATACATACGTTGGTTCGTTATTTAGGTACCATAGTTATTATAGATGTTTTCGGCTGTAATCCCAATAATGGATCCTTCATTTATTCTAGTGTTAGGGTCCACCTGATTGTAAAAGTTAGGCTTATCTGTTTTGTTCACCCCATGCAATGTTACAGGATTGGAAGCTTAGATGATCAGCATTGGTTAAAAAACTAGCAAAGATTAATGATATCTGGTATGACGAATAGTAGTAAAACCTCTGGTGGTTTACGTAAACCCAATCACAAGATCGTCTTTGATATAATCAATGTTAGTTAAACCATTCATAATATAATCTCTGATATGATCAACATTGGCTAAACAAATTATTGGCTTATGTACAAACTATTCACATTATGATTTCTGATATGATCAAAATTGATTAAACAAACTCAAACATATCACTAGCTAGTCTGTGATAATGTCATCATTCAGATAACTAAAAATGCCGATTTATTTCATTTCAACTCGGAGATTGTGTTTAAAGCGTAGCTTATGAATCAAGGCTTTGGTAGCTTAGAAATGTAAATATTTTAGTTGCGTTATGATTTGTCGTGTGACAATTTATCATGTCGGGCATTGTTGAGTTATTAACATGTAATAACTGACATGTTTAACAATGTTTTTTGTTAATTAGCATATAATAAACTATCATGTCGGGCATTGTTGAGTTATTAACATATAATTGTTTGAACCAGAACTTGTTTGTTTGTTTTCTCCTTAAAGACAAGGCTACACAATGGGCTATCTGTGCTGTATCGAAACCTGTTCTTTTTTAGGGTCATAAGCCTTACCACTGGTGGTGGTGGTGGGTGGGGGGGGGGACGAACTAGCACTTTGTGATATTTAAGGATAACAAGTCATCGTTTGTAAACATGTCGTAGAAAAATTTCTGATATGTTGTGTTTATAAAATATTGTTTATTTTGGGCATGCCATGGATGTTGGATATAATACTTTATTTGTTTCGGAAATCTCTTCGAAATAACGAATACAATGTCAATAAGACCTTACAATCTTTCAGGGTGACCCCAGAATACCGGAGGCATTAGATAACGACGAGGCTCTGCTATTAGGCCAAAGTGACTATCAGCCATGGGAAGAACAAGTGCCATTTGATAGGAGACTTCTGCCCAGCAAACGTCAGATCCGGTACAACCAGTGTTACTTCAACCCCATTTCCTGCTTTCGAAAGCGAAATTAAGGTTCTTATTGTGGACGAAAATCCCGGTAGACAAGCTGGTTATTATTTTGTGCATGTATATAAATGATGAAAAAAAAAGTATTGAAATAAATCACGTAGACCGTAACACATCCTGAAAATGTGACGTAGATCTTGAGATTGAACGTTGTAGTTGTGTAATTAAAGTTAACGTTCAATAAATGTTGAACCCATGTAAAGTTTTGTCTCTTATGTCAGACGTTTGTTCTTTTTAAAGAGTGCTAATAAAGTATACTGTTCCTTTGTGATCCCTCAATAGTATTAACCTCGTGTTTTTTTTATCATTTATTGTGTAAAAACAGAGCTATTTACCTAGAAATGTTTACAACATCTGTTGGTTCATGCTCCAGAAGTTCATGGGAATTCTATAGTAACAATACTAATATCCTTTGCACAAAACACTGAAGTTGTAAGAAAATATAAAAGTTTTATTTCAGGCTTAATCATAGATAGAATATAAAAGACTTGGTAGTTATATATATACGTGAGATTGCATACATATAACGCCGTATTTCATTTTGGGGACTCTTTCTTGCATAACACTTAAATTTTGAAATATTAATATATATTTATAATAAAACTCAAATGAAATTTTGCTTAACACATTTTTTTAGAACAACGCCCCCTTTTTTTTTTTAAACAGTGTTGTTATCATCCAGGGCTTCATTCTTCTTATTCAAAAACAGTATCAACATCGCCACTTTTTTGTTGTTGTTCTTTTATAATATTAGGCTAAAACCTTTATACATAATCCTGTGGAATAAACAGTAATGCTCTGTCTTATACCATCTGTATTGGCAACAGTATGTAGTACTGTGTTTAATGTTTCGACCCTCGAAATTAATTATGTCACATTTTAACTTTACTGTCACCCGTTGATGATGAAGCAACCTGGGGAACTTTAACAGAAATGCGAAAGTAATTCTAAGAAATTTTGAGTGAAAATAAAGAAAAATATGTCAACTACATTATGTCATATCCGGTGACGACGAAGCTTTTTCTCATTACCAGAGCTCATTCGGGCGGTTGGAATGTGACAAACATAGTAATGGTTTAGGCGTTATTTATAATCAGTTTTGATGAACAACGACTGTTATGGGGTGAATTAGATTATGTAAGTGAACTGTAATTATCTTAAATTGATTTTAAACAAATAACAAATCAGATTTTTAAGGGAAGGAGGATTAATAACAGAATATTATTTATTCATTTTAATTCTAATACAAACATACGCATTTAACGAAGAAAATTTCAGTCACTTGACGAAATAAAAACAAAAATAATAAAAGTTACTGATCGTTATCCAGATGAACAAATCAGTTTTAACAATGATTATATTAAACACTAGCAAGTCAAGATTGTATGAAACAATGATTATATTAAACACTAGCAAGTCTAGTGTATGTACACAGATTGACTGATACACTCACTGTATGTACACAGATTGACTGATACACGTCACTGTATGTACACAGATTGACTGATATACGCCACTGTATGTACACAGATTGACTGATATACGTCACTGTATGTACACAGATTGACTGATATACGTCACACTGGTACACGTCACTGTATGTACACAGATTGACT